CGAATCAATTCTATTGTCTTAAGGGTTCTGATTCAGTTTAGTGACTAAAAATGTATAGGTAATCGATACTTTACTGAGTAAGGTAGTCAAGGATTTCTCAGCGCTGCTTGTTTCACAAGGCACTCAGGTATGTTAGAAGTCTCCGTCCCATGGTGTTTCTATTACTAGCATTGTGTAGAAGTACTTCTACCGGATCAGTTTTTCGACTTAAGCAGGATGCCATTCGTCAGCGCATGGAAATAATCTTACATCCCTAATTTACAAATTTTCTGCAGCTTGGCCTTTTTCTAAAGAAACTACTGAGAGGAGACTTGGGTGGTCTATCTAAATCGGAATTCGTAGAAGCTATTACACAATATCTAGGTCAAAGAAATGGTTCGGTCTCAAATGATCTATCCAACTTCTGTATTTGTGGTGGGAAAGGTAGAGAGGCTGTTCAGTGTGACAGTAGTCATTCGTCTGTCCATGAAGAACTAATTAGGACTCAACAGAAACAGCTTGAGGTGAGTATCCAATCTTCCGTTTCCTGCAAGAATTATGAAAATTTCGCAGGTGCATTAATAGATCAAGCACATAGGTTTTCTGGCAGAATGCAAAACATAGATTTTCTTCTTACTCAACCGTTTGCTTTTGTCCGTCTTGGATATCTTTAGGAGCTCAAATCATCTTTCCAAGTGACAAAATACAAAGTCAAACAAGTTCATTCAAACTGGGAGGAAGAACTTAGAAGGCTTGGTAATATTCTAAAGATTTGATCTGCCTCGAGAATATTTCTGTCAACTACAAAATGGATTCCTTAACCTCATACTTTCATTTTTTTCGGTCTCAGCACATCACATCAAAGGCCTTGAAGTGGCATCCTCTTCCTATCAACAAGTTATCGAAGAGAACCGAGTTCTTTACAATCAAGTGCAAGACCTCAAAGGTGTTTATTTCATCCCAGCGTAATGTATTATCTAGCATGTTAGGATATGGAGCTTATTTAGAAGATTTTATTTCTTGCAGGATCAATTAGAGTCTATTGCAGAATCAGACCCTTTTTACCGGGGCAATTGAACGGCCAGTCCACTGTGGATTATATTGGAGAGAATGGAACCATCATGATTGTCAATCCCCTTAAACAGGGCAAAGATGCAAGAAGGGTTTTTACATTTAACAAAGTCTTCAGAACAAATGTCACACAAGGTATTCTATCATAGCAAAGTTTTTCAAACCGCTTTCAGAAATTGAATTCGAAATTTGAGTAACAGTCTATTGAAATAAAATGAAGATGTGCTACTACACTACGATTAGCCATGAACGAGAATGAAAACTTCATTTTACAGTTTGTACAGCTTAATATTTTTGCGTAAGAAATTATTCATGGTCTCTCTTCACTGTTCTGTGCAGAGCAAATATATGGTGACACTCAACCACTGATCAGGTCGGTTTTAGACGGTTATAATGCATGCATCTTCGCGTATGGACAGACTGGTTCGGGGAAGACATACACAATGGTAATGCCAATTTACTCTAGTTTTGCTAATAGATGTGAGAATTCGTATATGTAGACATTAGATTGTATTGAAAAACTACTAATACACACAACATGCACTTCTTGCTTATCTTATGCAGAGTGGCCCTGATTTAACAACAGAAGAGACATGGGGTGTAAACTATAGAGCCCTTCGTGACTTGTTTCAAATATCAAAGGCGAGGCAAGACATAGTGAGATATGAAGTTGCAGTTCAGATGATCGAAATATACAACGAACAAGTGAGAGACCTTCTAGTCAGTGATGGCTCTAACAGAAGATATCCTTGCCCTTCCTTTATTTTTTCTCCAACTTGAGTCCAAGTTTAGGCCTTACGAATTCACAAGCTCTATAAAGTATGTTGTCGCGTTGTTTCCTTAACTTATATGGTACATTAGATATACGAAACAAGTCTCAACTGAACGGCCTCAATGTACCTGATGCAAGTTTGGTTCCAGTGACATGTACTCAAGATGTTCTTGAGTTGATGAAAATCGGCCAAAGGAATCGCGCTGTTGGCGCTACAGCTCTAAATGAGCGCAGCAGCCGGTCTCATAGGTGGATCATTTATATTTTATTTTGTGAAGTTTAAGCATCATTTTGTTTTTTTGATGTTCTAACAAGTGAATTTTGGATTGGCTATTTCTTCTGCAGTGTTTTAACAATTCATGTACTTGGAAAGGAGTTGGCTACTGGATCAATTCTAAGGGGCTGCCTTCATCTTGTGGATTTGGCCGGGAGTGAGAGAGTTGATAAATCCGAGGCTGTTGGCGAGAGGCTAAAGGAAGCCCAGCACATAAATCGATCGCTTTCTGCACTCGGAGATGTCATATCTGCTCTTGCACAAAAGAGTACACATGTTCCTTACAGAAATAGCAAACTTACTCAAGTCTTGCAAGACTCTTTAGGTAACCTTAAAAACATATTAAGTCTTGTTGATCGAATCCACTTTTCCAAATGCTTAGCATTTTAATTCGATGTGAAATGTCGATGATCTTAATTTTGTCCATGTTTAGGTGGTCACGCAAAAACCATGATGTTTGTGCATATAAATCCTGAACTTAATGCCCTCGGGGAGACGATCAGTACCCTCAAGTTTGCTGAGAGGGTTGCATCCATCGAGCTTGGGGCAGCTCAATCTCATAAAGAAACGGGTGAAATCCGCGAACTTAAAGACGAGGTTTATCTCTCATTTCTGCAGTTCTACTTCAAATTTTCACTGATTTATGTTATAGTGCTTGCTTAAAAGTAAATAAGTATCTGTGTAGATATCAAATCTTAAACTGGCATTGGAGAGAAAGGAAGCTGAGCTAGAGCAAATTAAAGGCAACACACGAAACGCCACAGATTCCCAAAAGTCAAGAGCTGTTTCACCTTTCCGTGTTCCAAGAAATGGTACTGGAAACGGTTCAAAGCCTGAAAGCTGTCAGCGAGCCTTGGACGAGACTAGGATTTCTGAGGTACATTCCGTCATGAAAAATGAAATAGTTGAAATTCGGTACTATATTTTTCTTGAGGAGTAATGCTAGCATTAGACTTGGGAGGTTCTCTAATTGCATACAAATGAAATGGTTTGGTAGCAGATGATAAAAGTTCACATTTTTGTGCTCAAATTTGTTGGCATTCAGGCAAGAAGTTGCTCTACGGGCAAGCAAAGGCGGTTGAGGTTTCCCTCTGCATTCACTGACAAGGAGATTGCACCGAAGATGCCATTACCAGTTGAAGACAGATTAGTCATCCCTGGACATCTCAGAACACCATCACCTCCAGTTAGGAGATCAATATCTACTGATAGAGGGGCCTTCATCAAAAGTAGGAATAAGGCTGATACAACCGAAAACCAACCAATTGCGAAAGTACCATTTCCAGCTAGAGTACCTGTCAATAAATCCCTTGCAACTATGCCGGTGTTCCCATCAACTGAGAACAACTCGAGGGTATGCACCAGTTCGCGAGAACCAACTAAGCACGAGGACATTTTCGGTGCATTAAACAGCCTCCAGAAGGCCAACTCCAAGAAAGTTTACCAAGAACCTGAAGACGAGCAGTTTAAGCTAGCTCTTAATGTAAGGCAAGGCGGTATTAGAAAAATCAAGAATGAAAGTAAGGCAGCTAAGGCCAAGCAGAACCGGACACCAGCTAGAGTTCAAAATTCTGATGCAGTGACAACAATGTTTCCCAACTCAGATGCTGGTGAAAAGATTGAAGAGGCTCGGAAGAGTGACTTCTCTGAGCCGGAAAATGAGGATATCCTCATTGCTTCACCCAAGCATAATTCCTTGATGGCGAAAAAGCTTCGGCAACCCTTGCCAAGGAACTACATAAATCTTGAACCACGGTATGATCTATAAACCAATGGTTTTTCGTTATAATTTTTTTTTTTTTTCGGATTCTCATTCTGAACCGGTGTATGCTGTGTTCTTTTACATGCAGAGGACTAGTGCAAGCAGAAGAACCTTTATTGGCTGGAAAGTCCGAAAACAAGCTTCTAAATGGCGTAACACGAAATCAAAAGGAAGGCGGCAACATGGCCATGCCTGAAATCAGAAGAAGCCGATCCACACGGAATTTTTAGTATTACCTTGAGGAATTTTAATGCTTTCAGTTTTCTTTTAAAGCATCTTTTGTATAGTTGCTATGTATGTTGGTGTTCCCGATTGCATTTTCCTTAAACCTTTGTCTTACTATATAAATTACCTATATATACTTTTTGAGATCACTCTTTCTGTAAATAAAAAAAAACACAATGTTGCAGTTCTCGATCGAGTTTTTCTTGTACTGGAAGCTATTTTTAGGTTTTACAGGTACTTTTTTCTCCTTTTTATGTACAAAGATTGCATATCTACTTGTCATCTAAATTTAATAAGTACTAAAACAGAAAGAGAGAAAAAAAGGATGAACATTTGATTTGATATGGATGTAAACAGATTTTAATATATTTCACACGCTTAACAGAGTTTTGTTACCCGCATCATCACGCGGGCTCAATGACTAGTGTATACTAAAATTAGTAAGGAAGAAAAAGAAGGTGATTCTTCTAGTACCAATGATAGCCATGCAACCAGCCTGGAAGTTAAGGGACACTATTTATAGTAAAATAGATAATTCTGTTAATCTATCCATACACCTCATTGACAGCCTCAGCTAGCTATGATGTTCTTCCTCAAAGCAGCTATTAAGATCTCAGCTCCCTGAGAAGTCCCATCGCTATTGATACCATCGTTTGGTAAATTTCAACCTATTCTTCGAGCCTCTAGTCCTCGATATCAATTTTGATGTCTCCAGAATTTGAAATCTTGGCTTCGTTCGTCATATTTCATTTGTTCCATCGTATCAAGAATTTTGACCAGCTACAATAGACCCTGTAATCCAAGATAGCATGTGAATCTTTTTTGTTGATCTCAAACTTCTGAAAAAAAAGTGAGAGCTTATCGTGTTGCAAAATTCGGGTGGAGTAGATAATGAGGCATCTCTTTTCCTCGTGACAATGTCTCATCAAATTCTTCAGGCCTCACCCGTTTCCATTCCAAAATCACCATCTTCCGAGAAAGTGTGCAAGGAAAAGGAGACAGATAAGTCAGCTCCGCAGAGCGCTGTGACTTATGTCTATCAAGCGAAAATAGCTGAATTGTGCTGCAATGTCACAGTGACATGGTGTAAAAACCTAACTAGCCATTCCCTCTGCATCACAGTGGAAAAGCCTTGTCAACAAAATCAGTGCTGTATTTGTAAGATTGACTTAAACTCTACTCAGTTTTGGGGCAAGAAAGGTCTCAAATCGTTTGAAGTAGATGGAAGACGGGTAGATGTGTATTGGGATTTTCGACAGGCAAAATTCTCCTGCATCCCAGAGCCATGCTCGAATTACTATGTTGCCTTGGTGTCCAAACAAGAGGTGGTTTTACTGCTGGGGGACTTAATGGAAGATGCTTATAAGCGGACGAGATCAAGATCATCATCGGAAGAGGCTAGGTTGATGTACAAGAAGGAGAATGTGTGTGGGAAAGGATTGTTTTGCACCAAAGCCATGTTGGAGGAAGGGAGGAAAGAACATGACATTGTGATTGAAACATTGTTGTCCGGGCCCAAAGATCCTGAAATGTGGATTAGCGTAGACGGGACAGTGGCAATTCGGATTATGAACTTGAATTGGAGGTTTAGAGGGAATAAAACTGTGATGCTGAATGATATGCCAGTTGAAATTTTTTGGGATGTGCATGATTGGTTGTTTAGTAGCTTAGGCACAAGCCAAGGGTTTTTCATTTTTAAGGCAGGGAGGGTAGATTGGGAATCATCGAATATCAATTACGATTATGCGAGTAGAAATGGAAACTGCAGCAGTTGCAGCCTGCAGCACAGTCCATATAACTCACCAAAAGGCAAAGGGAGTTCATCAAACATAGGAGGGTTTTGCCATTTTCTCTATGCTTGGAAAACCGAGTGAGACATTTTGAGCGGTATACAAATCACGGTTTAGTACTCTTTATTTTTAGTTCAATGTCCCTCTAGTTCGATATTTGATTTAAAAGTTTGTAACCGGTTACTTGTACATGTTTCCATATTTTATATAAAACTTCTTCAAACTATAAGAAGCTCTTGGGGAGATCTAAAACGCATAGCTATAAGAGTTACTTTCATGACAAATTTTCTACACTTACGAGCAAGAAGGAAAACTGTAATCGTTATAATTATAACGATGCTATTTCATCAATAAAACTTTGGATTTAGAGACCACTCCAACGGTTAAGCCACTACGAAACGAGTAAGCCCTAAAAACTTGAACGTATAGCACTTTAAACATGTCTGACTATTGATTAAGACACAAGTAAATGACTAACGCAAATAGTCTTCTACATTGTACTAATCCTTAGCAATCAAACCGTACGAGGAGTTTGTGAATATTGCGTGTGTCAACAAACGCAAGGACCTTCACTTACATAAGCATGTTAACCTAATAGAAGAATTCCATGCCGGAGATCACAACTGATTTTAGGTGGTAGAGATGAGTTTTTGGCGGCATCCAGCATGGACAGGACCTGGTTCGGCTGGTCTTTCGCCGCCATGATTGAAGACGGCAGGTCTTCCGCTGCCATGATTGAAGCCTGTGATCTTCTCTCTCGATTAATTTGCTTCCAAATTAACAATTTGTTGGATTGGTATAGAGCTGAGTCGATATGTATTTATACGGAAGACGGTGAAGCGGATCCAAATATCCAATGGAAAGTATGTATGTAGTGGGAGGGACTCGAGCATACTGATCGAGGCGGGATCGAGCACTGCCTGAGGAACTCGAGAGGGGTCTTGAACGGCTAAGGGGAGCTGTCGAGTCCTGAGTGCCTATATTTCTAAATCTTTAAGAAAAAGACGGCCAAGTTCTTTTAAGTTAATAGAAATGTTAGGACTTGTTTCTAGTAGCATTTTTTAAGTTATCGAATTTAAGTTATTCAGTGCTACAGTCTGGTGGTATTCCTTATCACTTAGAAAAGTGAGAATTCTAAGCCAATTAAGCTCAAATATGAGCCATTCATATTGGCTAAAATAAATGTGCTCTCATGGTCGTAGCACTATAGGCTAATGATATTACTTAGGGTGCTTTAGATTTTAGCCCTTACAATTCATTATTTTTAGGTAAAAACCCATCTATCTTTAAAGATCCAGTTTAAGCCCAAATTTAAAATTTGCAAACATATAGGAACACTATTGACCTATTAATACAATTTATTTACACTCATGCCACTCATACTTTATGGTCCCTTTTCCAAATTCCTAAATTTATGCAAAATTAAAAGTAGTAGAAAAGGTGAAATAAAATGAAAAAAGTGTTTGCATTAACCGTATCTATGTCAAACTAGAAAAGTAGTTTTTTTTTTCGTGATATATTTTGTAGCAATTTTATCCATATTAATTGGTAGGTAAATTAGTTTGTTCCAATTATTTAAAAAAAAATACTACACCTATATTATATATTTTGAATCAAATAACATTCCTCTAACTTATAGGTAAATTATTTTCTATGTATTGTTATATATGTTAGACACGTTTTGTTGTTGTATAAACATGAGTGGAACATAATATTGTTGATTTTATACATCAAACTGCATTTCTTTTGTTATAGGTAAATTATTTTCCATGTACAAGTACTTATGTTAGGCAAGTTTTGTTGTTGGTACATACAATATTTTGTGTCATTGTAAAGAAAGATGTTACAATACACCCATGGTATAATTGTTGTAGGTAAATTATTGGAAATTAATTTGTAGTTAGGTAATGAACATTTTGCATCATTGGAAATGAACATTTCAAAGAGTAGGTAGGTAAATTAATTTGTTCTAATTATATAAAAAAAAATTACACTACACCTAGCTATATTTAATTTTTCCAATTATTAAAAAAATTTATACTACACCCAACCAAATAACATTTCTCTAACTTGTAGGTAAATTATTTTTCATGTATTGTTAGATATGTTAGGCACGTTTTATTGTTGTATAAACATGGGTGTAACATAGTATTTTTACTACTATACATCAAACTACATTTCTTCTTAATATAGGTAAATTATTTCTTATTTTTAATATACATCGAACTACATTTCTTCTTAATATACATCGAATTACACCCATGGTATAATTGTTCGTAGGTAAATTAATGTGCATGTAGATAATGAAATACAATGTTCTAATATATTAATAAAAAAAGGATAAATTCAAAAGTATTCAAGAGTAGGGTGAAAAAACTGAATCGAATAGTTTAATGAAAATTCAATACCTTTCTAAAAAATTAATATGCAATAAATTTTTAACATTAATGTCTTTTTTTTTTCTTGTTGCAAAATCATGTACTATTTCCTTACAATTAATTGTCTACATCAAGTATGTAATAGGGGTATTTTAGGCATGTGAAAAATGTAAAATGTGTGAATTAATATGAAGTTAATGAATTTGCTTATGTGGATCCCAGTCATTGGGTTTTCTTTGAGTAAAAAAGTTATGTAGGGTTTTATATAAAGAAAATTGAGTTTGAAAGGCTAAAGTCATATTTTCACTAATCACTTATAAGTGAAATATTTTAAATTCAATTCTCGTTGATGGCTATTTGAATTAAATTATTATAATTGATCTATTATGTAGCTTAGCTCACATGCCTTATCATTTAATGAAAACAGTTGGGGGTCAAGCCATGGAAATCAGCTTTTTTTTAGGGCTGTAAATACTCACATATGCATTTTAGTCTTCCTAACTATCATTGTATTGTATGTTTTATGAGTAGTAGAAATCAAACTAACCATATGACATAAATACTTGGAATTCATCTCAATCAGTACCATTGAGCCACCCCGTAGTGGTTAGATTAGGTTTGTATGTTACTCTCTCCAATTTAGATTATGGAGTATCTTTTTATACAGGAATAAATAAAACCTCCGAGCGAGGGTAATTTCGTAGTTTTAGATAAGAGCGCCAAAGAATTTGTTCAACAAGGCTATGGCTGACAAATTAAAAAATTAGGGTTTATCATTCTTCGTCTCTGAAAATTCACAATTATGACAATTCACGCGGGAATCCTCTGCTTCAAAACCCAATTTCAGTTTCCCTGTCGGCTGCTCCCCCTGACCTGGTGAGAAATTTCTTCACTTTCCAAATGTTTCCGTCTTTGGTGTGTTTGGTTCCCGAGAAAATGAAGGAAAAGGAAAGAAGGTTGCTTTAAAATTTTCCATCTTTTGAATGTTTCTGTATTTTTTGACATAAATTTGTTAAGTAGTGTGAAGTTTAAAACTTTTGAAAAACAAATCCCAAATTGGGTAACAGTTGTGTGACTTGGGTTGTTGATTCTGAGCCCGTAGCATCCAAATATCTGCATTTGTGATTTTCCTATCTGTTTTCTCAGGAACCAAACAGAAAATTAAGCTTAGAAACTCAGCTAATGGCCATTGACAGTTTGTATTGTTTTACTAAATTTGTCATTTGTTGGGATAGGAGGAAATGTGCCATCACATGCTTGCAGAACAGAGATTACAGTTCCTCGGCTCCAGTTAGGTACATTCCGAAAAATTCTTCGAAAGTTAAGAAATTAGAAAGTTCTCCACAGAAAAAGGGTTCCGAAGAGAAAGAGTTCCGTGAATTTCTGGAGGTTAAACAGAGTGGAAGAAGGGTGCGTAAAAGCCTGGACTTCAATGAGAAGCCTCAAAATCAGAATCAAAATCGATATAGTAATTCATCGTTTAGTGATGCTCAGAAAGGTATTCTGTTCTTTAACTCAAGTGAAAATAAAAAAATTCGTTGTGTAACATCCAGACGTAGATGTATGATTGCATCAATACATGCTCTTTCACCTGGAAATTGTTCGTGTTTCTTCAGTTGTCATGTTTTGTTTGGGATTTGTTTATGCAATAAACTCAAACAATTTTCTTGAAAAACATTATAGCAGCTCCAGATTTGAAAGATCAGATGAATCATCTTTCGGGGGCTGTAGGCTATGAACTCATGGAAGAGCCTGAAGAGGTTTTTGAAGAGTTAAAGGGTTCTAAAGAAAAAGAGTTTCCTGAATTTTCGGATGTGAGCCCACTGAAGAGTGAGGTTAAACATTGGGGAAGAGGTGTGCATAAAAATAGGGTACTGAATGAGAAGCCTCAGGATCAGAATCAACAGAGTTCTCAAAAAAAGAATCGGAATCAAATTGAATATAGTAACTCATTGTTTAATGACGTTCAGAAAGGTACGTTATTTGTCTAACTCAAGTGAATAGAGTAAATTAATTGCATAACATACAGCGATTTTATGATTGGATTTACATCTATGAATGCCCCTTCGCCTAGCAATTGTAGCTTCTTGTTATTGTTTGTGTTTAGTTGTGAAGTTTCATTTCGGGCTTTGTTTATGCACAAAACTCAAGCCCCATTTGCTTCAAAACATTTTAGAATCTCCAGAGCTGGAAGATCGGAATGATCGTATTTTAGGGGCAATAGGCTATGAACTCATTGAGGAGCCTGAGGAGGTTTTTGAAGAGTTAAATATCCTTGAAGAGAAAAAGTGTCCTGAGCAAGGTGTAGTGCAAGGTATAAAGCATGATGCTGAGCAAGTGGCAATAAAATTACTTGCAACCAGGTTAAAAATTTCCACCACTTCATAGCCCTGTTTGATATGTGTGCGTTGTATATCAATATGTGGTGTAGTGTTTCCGCAACTTCATAGCTCTGTTTGATATGCGTGCAATGTATATCAGTACGTGGTGTAGTGTGCTAGAATGTTAAAGGGCAGGGATACTTCCGAGGTACATGATTTTGCGAAGTTTCTATAACAGTGCTTGAGGACATGTATCCCTGGACTTAAGATGCTATAACAGTTTGAAATAAGGGTGTTTATCTGTGAAGTGTGAATGAAGAAGAAATTTTTTTTTATGTAGTTCTTTTCCTTTGTAGGGCTTTCACGGCAGTTGAACTGAGAAAGAAGTTATGTGGAAAGAATTTTCCTCTAGGTACCGTCGAGGCAGTGATAGATGACTTCATCAGCAGGTATTTTCTAGTTACAAGAATGTCCTTTTTTAAGAGCTGCTCATCAGCCATTTTTTCTGCAAACAACCTTTGTTTGAAAACTTTGCATACATGGGTAACTATGTCACAATGATCTTAGAAACTTTGCACACACAAAAAAAAAAAGCATTATGGAAATCTGGAAGCACCAATTATATGAAAACGCCCGAAAGTCTTCTAGACCATAGTTAAATCGTTTTTCTTGCTAGCAATCATATCAATCGTTATTGTCAAAATCATGTCAATAATGTCAATTGTAGTGACAAATGGAGTATAAACTGTGTAAAAGAAAAGAACATCTGAACAAATGGCATGTGTAACACCGCAGGGGCTTTCTAAGTACCTGGATATCCCTTCCCATCTTTTTTTTTCTTTGAACCAGTCGTTATTGAATGACTGGTACCACCTTATAATTGATATTCCAATTGTACTGATCTCTAATTATGTGTTTATGTTTTCTGGAGTTATTTTTTCATTTACATAAGTGAAGTTCCAAAATTTCATTTCATTATATATGATATGACATCTTCAGTGATTTTGACCTTGAAATTTATTGTAGAGGCCTAATCAATGATAGCTTGTATGCGGAAGCATTTTCTCGTTCCAGATGGTCTTCCTTAAGTTGGGGACCAAGGCGAATAAAGCAAGTAAGCCACTATTTCTGTATGAAGAGAAATGTCCTAGACTGAGATGAGTATTTTAGATTCATATGTTGAATGACCCAGATTGACATGTTAAACCTCGTTTTTTTATTAGAGCTGTCCCATTTAAGCAAGGGTAGTCATGTTCATATTGCACTAGGTAGTCGGCCCTTGTTGGAGTCTTTTATTTTAAGAATCTAATCAGACCAATAAGCAAGCGTAATTGCTAGAGTCCACTATTCATATTAGCAAGGGTAAAATGTGTGATTATATGTAACAAAAAGCGTTATTGTTGGTTCAGGCACTTTTTAACAAGGGAGTGAGTAATGTTGATGCCGAGAAGGCAATTAAACTGGTTTTTGAGGAGGGAAAACCAGATGAGGATGAGGAGTTAATTCATGGCCTGTCGAAGCTCTCAATGGATAATTTAGTTGTTCAAGCCTCAAAGCAGTGGCTCCGAGGTCAAGAAGTGCCTAAAGAAACGAGGAAATCAAGGATTGTTCGTTGGCTTCAGTATCGCGGATTCAGCTGGGGTGTCATCAGCTTCATATTAAAGAAGTTAGAATCTGAGTAGCCACCCTAGAGCACAATGAGGTTCTATCTTTTCCGTGACACATAAGAACAAAACGGTACCGTCCATAACCCTCTACTGGAACGTTAGTCGTGTAGTATGGATAGGGTTTTGGTCTATAATGCCACTTGCTGCTGTGGCCAGAAGACACTCAGTTGGTGGTCTAACCGTTATCAGTGTCGGACATATATTGCGTTAGCCTTGCCTGGCATCGGGGTGAGGACTACCTTACTGACAACATAGGTAGTAGACAACCCAGAAGTGGGCACTACTTAGCTGTTCTTTTGATAGGGTACCACCATTTTTCGGCTGAAATCAGAAAATCTCATGTCTTCATGTATTGTGAATAAAGAAACTCAGTTGTTTGTGTTCCTAAATCCAAAAATTTGAACCGTTCTATTTGTTTCCATACTTTTGGCTGTTTTTGTACCTCTTAAGAAAGTATGTAAGGGCACGTTTGAAATGCTCCTATAGAAAACTGTTCTGCTCATAAGCAATATTGCTTAAAGTGGATTTATTAGAAGAAAACACTTGAAGTGCTTCTTTAGGAAACACTTCTTAAGTGCTTATCCAATAAACACTTGCAAGTGCTGCTGCACTTACAACCATGAGCACTTCTAACTTTTACGGTCAAACATGAAAGTGAAAGTACTTTTAGCTAGGGGTGGTTTTGGAACATTACCGTACCAAAATCTCTGTACCAATTACCATACCAAATATTTGGTACGGTAAAATCTATTACTATTACCGTACCAAACTTTCGGTATACCGAATATCGGTATACCAAATAGTTGGGTTGGTATGGTATGCCAATGGTAATTGCTACTCGGTTTTACGCCACTTAATTTGCCCAAAATCTAATATTTTTTAATTAATGTAGAAGTGTAAAAAAATATAGAAAAAATATATAAACGCTGTAATGACAAGCTTTACAACTTTCGTGAAGAGCTTAATTTTGAAATTGGCCATTATAATCATATAAATTATAGATCAAAATTTAACCGTTGATTGTTGTTTACATTTACACTTCATTTTTCTTATCAAATTTTGTTTTTTTTTTTTTTTTTCAGATTTTCTTTTTTGAAAACATGATCTATTAGAGGATGTAGGAAGATGAATGGTTTAGATCGTTGATATTATGTTCAGAGTTTTACGGTTAGTAAAAATATTGCTAGATGTTTATAAAGTTTCTACAAACTATATGACATTAATTCATATTTCAGTTAACCGTAAATGTCGAAACGTGATATCAAAGATCTGAACCGTTCATCTTCTTACATCCGCCAGATGATCATGTTTTCAAAAAAGAAAATTTTAAAAATGAAATTCAATAAGAATAATAAAGCATAAATGACAATCGACGGTTAAATATAAATTTAAGGTTTATGGATTATAGCATTGGATTTTGAAGCTGACCTCTTCATGAAAGTTGTAAAGTTTGTCACTATGAGTGATTTTATATATATATATATATTTTACATTTTTTACTTCTACAATAATTATTATTAATTTTGCCTCAAATAATTATATGAATCAATACATAATATAATATTAATAATATTGGTAGGTATGGTATATCACCGATACTGCTTATGGATACCAGCACTGTATCGAAAAAGTATGGTACGGTACAAATAACGTACCATTACCAATTGGTACAAATTTTTGGTAATAATTTGGTATAGTACGGTTGGTAGGGCAGTTGATACGGTAATTTGGTAAAAATTTTCACCCCTACTTTTAGCCTTTCTAAAAAAACACTTCCAAACCGGTCCTAAAGGTAGACCTCCGCACTATGCTCAAAAAGCGGATTCAAGTCCATGTGCAGCTGTAATGTTATGGAATGGTTTACCTGGTTTTGTGTATTATATATATACAAGTGTGTGTGTGTGTAGAGGTATAATGGTCCTGCTTTTTTCTACGTGTGCTTCCGATCACGACATACCAAGTCTATTAATCCAAGATTAGTAGATTTATTTGCTGGAAAGTCTTGTGTTTCAGATAAGCACATGGACGTGATGTGGAGTGGGGATGGGGGACCATGTGAGAGCTTGGCTGGAAAGAAAAATATGGCGTGGAATCTCATTTCCTTTCTCCTTGCATTAAATTCTAATTGCATAAATCCAAAAATACCAATCATTGTTTAAACTTCTACATACATGCCCTGAATTTAGTCTCACTCCTAATCACAAGAGGAACTTGTCAGACGTCGTCATGTGTTTTAACTTCCTCACGTCGCGTTGTGGGATTGGTTTGGGCACGCAGGCCCCTTGATTTCCCTGCTTGATGTAAGTCCTCTTGAAAGACAGTTAAGCTAGTCTCCCTTAAACGCCGTTCTAGTGGGGAGGCAATTAATTATTTCAATCTAACCACAAATAATGAAAAAAAAAAATTGAAAATTACACTAAAAATGCTCTAATATTCTTCCTTGCTCTATGGGATTTTGATTCCCCCTAAATATATGAACATTAGTAGATGAACTACGAAGCACTTTAGCTTCTCATTGAGACCTTGAATCTTCAGAGAAGGCAAAGGAGTAGTTAGAAGAGCCTTGTGAGCCTTGTGACACTCCCTTCCTAGCAGGAAGGGATGCCAGAATTGCTTCCAAACCTCCTCCCTTTAACAACTCCGGTTCCGGCCTTGCGCAGTCTAGATGTCGAATTTCCTTGAGCATTGCAACGACATCCTTCATCATCGGGCGTTCATCAGCACGGTCGCTGACACAGAGAAATGACACAGCTAGTGTCTGCAGCATTTCGTGCATTGCAGGATCAGATCTTCCCCTGAGCTTTTGATCGAGAATGTCAATCGGGTCTCTCTTGCACGCTAAGTGGTCCCGAATCCACTGAACTAAATGTGCACCTCCGGGCAGAGTTGGGTCTAACGGATGCCTTCCTGTTAGTACCTCTAAAAGAACAACGCCAAAACTGTAGACATCACTCTTCTCAGTGATACTTTGCATTGATGCATGCTCTGTAATCACCGAAAATGAAAACACGAAAAACAATAGTTAGCGATTTAATGGCAAAAATTTGGTAAGAAGATTAGGAACTAACTAAACTTCGTTGAAAGTAAACATTACCAGGAGCCATGTATCCATACGAACCAGCCAATTGAGGCCGATGACTTGTTTTCGAAAATTCATCACCACCATTGCTGTTCACAATCCTAGCTAATCCAAAGTCAGCAAGATAAGGCTCATGGCCAGGACCCAACAGAACATTCATGGCTTTCACATCACCATGCAGAATAGCCGGCACACAGTCATGGTGCAAGTACGCAAGTGCATGAGCCACGCCTAAAACAATATCGTATCTAGCCTCCCAATCTGCTCCTCCTTTCCCGTAACCATGTAGAAGTGAGCTCAAGCTTCCGCTGGGAAGGTAATCATAGAACAGAATTTTCAGGTTTTGGTTTGAACCCCAACCCAAGAGCCGGATGATGTTCTTGTGCCTGATTGATCCGAGCGTCTGAATTTCGGAATTGAATGCTCCTGACTCTTCTGATGACCACATCTTCTTCACTGCTAGCGTTTCTCCATTTGGAATTGTCACCCTGTATACAACCCCAGAGCTGCCGGTGCCAATCACATTCGATGATGTCAAATTCCTGACAATGTCATCTATAGAGAAATCGAGCTTCTGGTACAAGGTTATTTCCCAGCCGTCATTTTCCCTGAGAATATTGCTAGCTATTCGCGCACGGACTAGGATGTAGACTGCAAGCAGGAGAAGAACTGCACTGACACAAATGAAAACCGATGTGATCAGCTTCATAACTGATCTATTGTGCTTTGATCCCATCCTATCAGCTGGACTTGTGACTCCGCCAGAGATGTAGAGACCTGTGTTTGCAGCAAGGTCACTAAGAGGGAGCTTCCGAAAGAATGGGGTGTTAGGCAATTCGCCGGATAAGTTATTGAAAGAGACATTGAGGGAAACAAGGTTTTGAAGGTTTGTGAGAGTGTTCAAGTTTCCGGAGAGGTTGTTGTGGGAGATGTCAAGGATTCCTAGCTTGGTAAGACTAGAGAACTCAGATGGGATTTCACCCGAAAATAGGTTGCAGCTTAGGTTGAGGGATATTTCGAGTGAAGGAATTTGACCAAGTTGCTTTGGAATTTCACCTGAGAAGCCATTGTTGCCAATGTCTAGCAATTGAAGCCTACTGCAAGAAAGGATCTCAGCTGGGATGCTGCCAGAGAGCTGATTCTTCCCGAGAATGAGTTTTGTCAATTCGGTTAATGATCCAATGCTGGGAGGAAGCTGACCGGTGAGCCTATTATCGGAGATGTCAACAAACTGCAGGCTTTTAGGCAGAGTGTCAGGGACAGAGCCGGCTATCCCATTCGAATGGAGATCAAGAAACTCAAGGTTCTGACATCCTGATATCGATGGAGGGATTGCTCCAACGAGGCGGTTGTTGCTCAAATCAACGAAATTCAAGCTCTTCAAGTTGCCAATCTCGGATGGAACAGTACCTGCCAGCCGGTTACGATTCAACCTAAACCTGTACAGGTTTGTGCAGTTTCCTATATCCGGCGGTATAAAGCCAGATAAATCATTGGAAAGCAGCAGAATCTTGGTGAGATTTCGTAATCCGAAAAGATTTCTTGGTATTGAACCAAATAGGTTGTTGTAAGAAAGATCAAGAGCCTGAAGATCCTGACAGTCTGAGAGACTCTCAGGAATGTTGCCCGTAAGCCTATTTTGCCACGCGAAAAATAGAGTTAAGCCCTTGAGGTTGCCAATGAGAGCAGGAATCTCCCCCGAGATGTCGTTGTTGTCAACTTCCAATTGAGTCAGAGCAGTGCAGTTTGAGATTTCAGAAGGTATAGTACCTGATAACTGATTGACACTCAGCTGAAGCTCTTGAAGATTCGAAAGCTCACCAAAGCTTTTTGGTATTTGTCCTGTCAGAAGGTTTTCTGAGAAGTCCATGACTGTGAGCTCTCTGCAGCTTCCAAGCTCATTTGGGATTGAACCCACCAAGCTGTTCTGCCACAGCAACAGACTCTGAAGCTTCCCGAGCTCTCCAATTCGCTTTGGGATTGGACCGGTGATGGAGTTCTGATACAAGTACAGGTTCTGCAGCTCGCTGCAGTTTCCGATTTCTTCAGGGATTGGACCAGACAGCAGAGATGTGTATAAGGCTATTGTTTGGAGTCTTTTGAGCATTCCAATCGACGTGGGAAGGCTTCCGGTAATGCCGGTTTCAGCAAGGCCTAACATGACCAAGTTGGTGCAGTTTCCAATCTCCCAAGGTATCTCACCGTTGAGATTCTTGTTCCCTCCTGCTCTGTAGACTTCTAGCTTTCTCAATTCTCCAGTACTCTTTGGAATTTCGCCGCTGAGTTGATTGTCATAGAGTGTAAGATACACAAGGCGCGAAAGATTTCCG